ACAGAACCTTTGCTCCCTTCTGAGGCCGCCAAGCCTGTAGGCTCGGACCCGCTTGGGGTAAGCGCCCTCACATCTACCGGGCCTGGACAGCTGTGACAGCTCAAGCAGCTAAGCTGCAGCCGTCGTGCGAAGCCCCGCATGGAAGAGACTCTATGCAACCCAAAGAGTCGAAAGTCTCAGACCCGATACACTCCACCCCCGCATACACCCACACAGCCTCTACACCCGAAAGTGCCTAAATCCTTGCCTAAACCCTACCTACCCGATCTCTAGGATCTTGTAGTGCCAAGCTCTGGCCACACTATAGGACCCAAAAGGGCCCCTTAGACACCTTCATCATTTAAGCCTTGACACCTTCATCATTTAGACTTAAAAAGTCCCACCTGGGCAATCCATTTTTTGAAAAGAAGTAGCACCCCGGCCTCTCGCCCGTGCTTTGGCCGGTGATGCTCCTCGGAAGCACGCGTCGTCTCCCGCTGTGTGCGGTGCAGGGTTTTCAGGGATCATGGACATTATTGTTCTGGGTTTGGTCTGTTTGAGGCGTTTAGGGGTCAGGGTACCCTAAAGCCCTACAGTCCCCTAAAGCCCTACACCCTGAACCTTACATCCTAGACCCTGAAACTTAGAACCTAAGAACCAAACTCACGTGTGGTCTGGGGGTTCGGTAACAGGGTGTAGGGTTTAGGATTTAGGGTTTACTGGTATACTGGTTGTGGTTTGGGGGGGTTCAGGGGTTTCAGGTTTTAGGCTTTGGGTTCGGGTGTTGTAGGAACTGAGAGGTTGAACCCTGAATCCCAAAACCCACACGGCCGAGCAGCTCTAGGCAGCGGGCCTGCACGACATGCAGAGCCGCCTGCGAAGAGAGGGTTCAGGACTTTGAGCCATTTAGGGGTTAGGGGTTAGGGGGTTGAGGGGTTGAGGGGTTGAGGGGTTTAGGGGTTTAGGGGTTTAGGGGTTTAGGGGTTTAGGGGTTTAGGGGTTAGTGTTTACGGTTGCTGGGTGCCATTTGGGGGATTATTAGGGTCACTAGTTTTTTTTATTTCTTGGAATGAGTTTTCTTTGCCGGGAGCGGGCTGCGACCACTTTAGGGGTTTTGGTATTTACGGCTTCGGGGCTTCGAGGGGCTGTCGAGTTTAGAGTTTAGGGTTGGGCCGTGGGCTATGGCATCCTGCGTGTGTGGGGGCTAGGTAGGTGGGGGGGGGTGGGGGTCCTAGAAGACCCAAATTCATCCTCTGCACGATGAGAGGGAGACCCCTAAACCCCCTTAAACCCTAGAAGCAAGCTTACGCTTAGTTTAGGGCTATTTGGGGGTCCAGACGGAGGCCTCTGAACCCAAACAGAAAATCCAGGAGTACAGGGACGATGGCCTGGACCTGGTGGCAGCTTGCGACTCAGTGGCCCTCTTGCGGTCTCCAGTCCGCCGTTCCGTGGGTTTTGGGCTTCCGGATTTATTAAGACTAATGTGGTGGTAGGTCAGAGTTGAGGGTTTGGGGTTTAGAGGGGGAGCGGGAGAGGTTTCGGATTTTGGGTCCTAGCATAAGTCCAAGGCCCACAGAAGAGCATTCAGGCCAGGGACATCTACTAGTGGCCCCCATCTCACCAACAAGTTATACCTGCTTTTGGATGAGGATGCTGATGATGCTGATGCTGATGATGATGATGATGCTGCTGCTGATGATGATGATGATGATGTTGATGTTGCTGTTGATGACGGTGATGATGATGAAGACGCAAACAATCAAAACGATAGTAGCAAACAATAAGTAAACATACACAGGAAATGTACTGGTGATAATATCGCATTATCGTCACCGTTCGTACCAGAAAATAATTTGTGATTATCAGTCGCTTTCCAGGATTGAGGGTCCCGACGTCACAGGTGGTGCTGGAAGGCGACTTCATTCAGAGGCCGGGACGCAAGCCCCCCTTAAGGCCAAGGTTTCTTGAGTCCGTGGGTTATGATGCAGCGCTGTTGATTGTTCCGGGTTGTTGCTGGGTTTGGGGGTGGGGCTTAGGATGTGGGTTTCAGGCGGGTTTAGGGTCTCGAGACCCTTGGCCTGGCTCGTTGTCTAGGTCGGCACGGGCATGTCTCAATGTCTCATGCGCAGAGTGTACGATCGATTTATGATTTGTGGGATGACTTCTCTTGGAAGTGGTCCCTCTGCAGAAGACCAAGAGGCATGTGCTTTATGGGGATGCCACGGATGCGCCCAAACCTTGCCCGAAAAGTAGGCTGGAACCCTGAGAATGTCTAAACCCCCGAGAGCTTGATGGAGGTTCCCTCCGCCTTAAACTCCTCAAACCTCACCCTGGACTTGGGGGGTAAAGGAGTTTCGCGGGTCCAAGGCATATCACTCCGAAGGCACTAAGCCCTATACCCCAAACCCTAAACCTAACCCTGGAAGCCCCCCAAACCCCGGATCCTGAAGCCCGCGAAGGACGTCTCGCCCTGCCGATCCGCAGGTCAATCCGGGGTTCGTTGCTGTTTTTGGGGGGGGCTTTAAGGTGAACATGCGAGTGGCCTTCGCGTAGCACTGCTGACGACCACGCCAGTTCTGAAAATCAGGTTTTGGGGCTAGCCCTTCCTCATCTTATGTTTATTGGAATCCACTTGTCAAAGCGAAGTAACCAAATCGAAATACGAGGACTGTAGATGTTCCACTTCGTTTTTCAAAGTTTGTCTTCCATTACGATGCGGCTGAGAGTGAGCTGCATAGGATGTTGGGCCATATATACTGGGTCTGCTGTAAGATGCAGCTGAGCGTGCGCCGTGTAGGATGCAGGGACATGTACTGGGAATGTGATACCGGGTCTGCTGTATGATGCGGCTGAGCGTGCGCCGCGTAGGATGGGGTTGAGGGTTCAGAGTTCAGAACTCACTCGCCACTGACCTGGCTAGTGTTGGATTTTTCACCTGGGAGTTCAAGTGAGGTCCTAGTATGTATGCATGTATATATATATATATATAGACATACCGTATATCTATAAAGCATAAAAAACACCTTGCGAGGCGGAGATCGGCCTGGGCCACTTCGGGAGCAAGCCCCAGAAGGGGTTTATAGGGTAGAAAGGGTTGTTGTGAAAAGGGTTTTTAGGGTTTAGGGAGTTTATCGGGTTTATAGGGCTTGTAGGGTTTAGGTTTATAGGGTTTATAGGGTTTATAGGGTTTATAGGGTTTATAGGGTTTATAGGGTTCTTAGTCTTTCAGGGTGTTAGGGTTCTAGAGTTTTAGGGTTTTAGGGTTTTCGGCTTTTTAGGGTCCTAGGGTTTAGGGTTTTAAGGGTCTTTAGGGTTTTGGGGTCTTTTCGGGTTTCAGGTTTTTGGGGTTTTGGGTTTTAGGGCGCTGTGGCCAAGGGTTCAAGGAGGGGAGCTTGAAGGTTTGGGGTTAGGGGTTGTCGCTTCGATGGATTTCTTTGAGCGCAAGGTGTCTCAGCTTTTCATGCTTGATGGCTTACACGTGCTTTTTCGCGCCCTGACAGATGCAGAAGTTTGGCCGCACGTGTAACCTTCTTAACCCGGGGCAATTCGCCCTCAAGCTGTCATCAGAAGCTCCTTCTGCCCATTGGGATTTGTACATGCCTGTGTCTTAGGATGGAAGCATTTCCGTTCCGAGCCCTCTTCATGCAGGACATCTAATGCAGAAACATACTAAATTGCACAACATCACACATAAATATATTGGATAGTATAGTGCAACATCACACAATAGCAAGAGACATCCGAACCGCCTTCCCCCCCTCCCCCGCTACTGAAAGCCCCCTAGGTCGGCTGAATCCCGAAGCCCCAAACCTGACCCCCCCCCCCCCGCCCCAAGCCTCGTGTCATATGTAGTAGCGTGCAACCAGTTGCCCATGGGCACGCGCTGTCCCCCACGATCTGCTGAATTTATGAATCTGTCCGACCTGGACCCCAATTTCCAAAACTCCTACGCCCCAAAAAGCCCCAAACCCTAAGACCCTAAAGACCCTAAGAACCCGTCATCAGAAGGCTCGAGAACTGGTGCGACATGCGCCACGCGCCGAGTGGCACAGCTGCCGAGCCCCTCGTCCGACGAGCTTGAGGGTGTTAGTGCACTGGAGTCACCCTAAACCCTAAACCCTAAACCCTGAACCCTGAACCCTGAACCCTGAACCCTGAACCCTAAACCCTAAACTCTGCAGTCCATAAGGGAGAACGGTCCAAGTTTCTGGAGGTCTTCCAGGACTTCGGGGGGCTGAAATCTAGTTGCCCCGTTCCTGGGTTTAGGAGTTGGGGGGCTTAGGGGTTAGGGAGCACTTCGGCCTGCTGGCTCCGGGCTCAAGAGCATGAGAGTCTGTCATGAGGAATTTGCACAGTTTCCACAGTGTTTTGTCAATTCTTATAGCTAGTTTCAATGGGCAAGACGTGCAGATTAGGTCATGTTTTGACCCGGACTTCAATCTTGAATCACAAGAATCCACCCCCCCCCCCCCCACTCCCAAGACTCCCAAGCCCAGGTATTGGGAAACCCTGGATGAGCAGAAGCAGCCTCGGAAATCGTGGGGGGGTTGTCTGGGCTTCTGTGGTTCAGGCTTGGTTTGGGCTCTTGGCCTAAGTTTCGGCCCGAAGGCGTCATCAGGAAGCTTGGTACTTGGTAGGAATGGCAGGGCATGGAGGGCGGGGGGACTTCCGAAGCCTTCTGGTTGCTGTGAACCCTGAACCCTGAACCCTGAACCCTGAACCCTGAACCCTGAACCCTGAACCTTAAACCCTACACCCTAAACGTCTTCACCCCGAGCCCTGAAAGGCATTCTTTTTTTTTCTCCCAACCCCCAAGTCCTGCAGAACCCTAAACCCCAAACCCTAAACCCTAAACCCCAAACCGTCAACCCTCAACCCTAAATCCCAGCCCTCAACCCTAAACCCTAAACCCTAAGCCCCAAACCGTCAACCCTAAACCCTAAACCCTAAACCCTAAGCCCCAAACCCTCAACCGGTTCTTTTCCTTCTCCTTGGCCCCGAGGAAACCGCCGCAGCAGCGCATGGTGGACCCACCTGAGGCCCTCCAAGGCCGCGTTTTTTTGGAGGGGTTTAGGGTTTAGGGTTTAGGGTTTAGGGTTTAGGGTTTAGGGTTTAGGGTTTAGGCGTTTTTTGGAGGGGGTGGGTGGAGGGTTTACAGGGTCAAGGCTTGTGGGGCTCACTGCAACCCTCAACCCCTCCAAGCCCAGAAGCTGTTGTTGAGGCCCGACCCGCAGCGAAAGTGAGAAGGCGCCCGCCTGGACGGAGCACTACCCAGGCCTGGGTTTTTAAAAAGGGCTGTGGTATGTGTTAGTGAGGTTCAGGGTGGTAGGGTTTAAGGGTTGAAGGTTTCAAGGGTTGTAGGGGTGTAGGGCTTAGGGCAGCGGATGGCAGGCGGGTTGAGCACTTAGGGTTCTTTACTCCTCTTATGGGCTTGGCGGAAGGTCAGCGAGAGTTCGGTGCGGGGTGGCCTTAAGGGCTTAAGTGTTGAAGGTCCGGAGCCCAAAGCCTCAAGCGGGCTCCCCTTGGCCATGGCAAAGGCTTGTCCGGCCCGCACGCAGAGATGCCACAAGCGCATGAGGCGCGACGGGAGGGATGCGCACGAGCGTGTTTCGGGTTTCGGGAGTTTAGGGGTGTTGGCCACCTAAACCTGGGGTGGGCCTGCTTTGTCCTTGGGTTGAAAAAGGCAAGGACAAACCTGACAGAAACTGCTGGGACAACTGAGCCCGACGTTAGGGTCTGATGTTGGCATTTGGCGGCCCCCCCCGCCCCCCCGAATGCCACCCCAGAGCTTTGGGGGGTGCCTCTTCTTGAGAGCTACTCCTGGTGCTTCCTCTCCTTTGGCGTGATTGAGGCTGGGACGTTTGCACGCCCCTCGGCACAACCCTCGGCACAACCCAACCAGGCCGGCCACGTTAAACCTCCCCTGGAGAGCACCGACCCGAGGACCGGAGGGGCTCCGTTGAAACCACCGCTGTGGAATGCAATGATGATCTTGGCTGCGTATACGTGCGGGGTGCGCTTCTCATGCGATGCCAGAGCCCATCGACTCCTTCGGGGGCGGTCTCGGTTCGGTGCTGTCACCGTGGCTCGCTAAGTCTCTGCACAAAATACAAGGCCTGGTGACTCAAGGCTGCCTCCGTATGCCTTATCTCGGGAACGGCTCCAGAAACCTGATTTGGCAACCCCCTGTCGGGTGGCAACTTGGTGGCAACTCACATTCAATAGCAAATGACGGATAGGACGTAGTCAGGCTTTAGTCTTGACAGGAATACATGCATACAAAACGTACAAACGGATGTTCGGGGTTCAGAGCCTTGTTGAGGCTTGCGGGATGTCTGGGTGCTCGCATGCAGTGAGGGTGGGCGTGTAGGGTGGGTGTAGAGGCGGGGTTTAGAGTGTCGGTGCAGAGACTTCACGGGCAATTGCTCAATCCTTTTCGGCTTGGAGGCCTTCTGCTGTGCCACAGGGCCACGCATGGATGCTGACGAGATGCTAGAGAAGCTCTGGTGCAGACCTCAGCCGGGCTCAGGGGGACAGATTTGGGGTCTAGGGTTGCGTGCTCAGCTAAAGCCAGCTACACCCTCAAATCCCTAACCCTAGACCCTAAGTAAGCCTTCTCTTCCGGGCCATTCTCTCGCCGGCGGCGCTTTGCCGGTTCAAGGGGCTCCAGGGGTTTGAGTTTCAGAATTTCGTCTTTTAAGGGGACGCGTGTTTTTAGGGTTTTGGGGTTGAAAGGTTTAGCGTCTCAATTCTTTGACGGTGTTATTGTATATTGAAGGTTGAAGGGATTACTTCGGGCTTCTAGGCTCTTCAGCGCCTTCAGTTTAGGTCAAGCATCCGTAGCCCCAAATTCAGTTTTGGTTTTGGGGCTCGCGCCCTCATTCATGTTTTTGGGTTTCAGGGTCTTCACTGGGGGTTTCGGGGGCCTCATTGGGTTGATTGGCTCAAAGTTCTTGCACCCTCGGAAGACTAAGAACTCCAAACCCTCCCCAGCTCACATTCCCTTCAACCGCAACCCTGACACTGGGTTTTTTTGGGTTCAGGGTTTGGGGTTTAGGGATTCTAGGGTTTAGGGTTTAAGGGTTCACCTTTAACCCCAGAATCCCCAACCCTCCCAGGTGGTGCTGGTGGTGCTGCTGCGTGGGCGCCGGTTGTCGACACTTCCGAGCCGCACCAGGCCGGGAAGCCGTCCCAGGACTGTTAGGGGTTTAGGGTTTAGGGTTTAGTGTTTAGGGTTTAGGGGACCCGGGAAAAATCTAGGGATCGGGGGCTTCTTGTACAATTTTTCCCTTTTTGGGTTCCGGGTTCCCTTATAAGGGTAGCCAACCCCCCAGAAGGGCACCCTTAGACTGTGCTTACTGGGCTACCGAGGCTCAGGGTAAACTTCCGCCGGAGCTTCCCGCTGCCAGCACCAAAGCCAGGACTGCCCACCAAACCAACCTGCGCTTGACTTAAACTCAACTCCTCCCGAAGCCATAGAATCATAGAACCCAGAGCCCTAAACGAACCTGTCAGGCGTCACCTTCAACTGCCTCTGTTTCAACACGTACCTGAACTCGCGCGCCTGCCTGGGTTTTTGGAGAGCAGAGTTCGCAAGAGCCTCTTGGAGGGTAGTTTGTCGGTAGGCTAGACATGAGCATCCAAGTAGCACCCGGCGGCCTTCAAGTGGCCCTTTAGCTCGCCCAAATTCTCTGGGCCAGGACGCCCTGCCGCGAAAAGGAGACCCGATTCTGCTGCGGTACGGTGGATGAGCGCCTCGGCCGAGACTGGACCTCTCCTGCATAGCGATCAGTAGGGTTGTCAGAGAACGTGGGGATGTGTCCGGTGCGGGCGAGTATTACATCATTAACCTAAACATCTACAACATATCGCCGTCAGCCCTGGGCACTCTTCCAGTTGCTTGCTCTTCTTCCTTTGGCGCGGTTTTGCCTCAATTCTGTGGGAGCCTAAAGATTCCTTGGCGCCAGGTGCTGCTGCTGCGTCTGGTTTTGCCGCGGGCCCGCGCAGGAAGGCGGTCCGGTCGGAGATGTGAAGCCCCAAGCCCCAACTTCTGAGCCTTGCGGGTCTTTGGAAACTATTGGAAACCATGGGACAGTCAGTCCCTTCCGTGCAGGGAACCTCGAAATCCCACGAAGAGCCAGCCAAGAACACCTACTGTAACGCACATGCATGGCAAGGCGACCCTCGCTGCATTTGCTGCGGTTGGGATTGTTGCGGCCCTTCCGGGCCTGATTGCCAGCCCTGGCTTGGCGCGGCGATGGGTGGGTTCTTAGGGTCGTGGGATGAATGTTCTTCTGCTTTTCACTTCTGTTCTTGTTTCAGGCTTGGGCTTGGGGGCTGGGCGGTTTTGATCATTTCCTGTGTCCGGCCCTTGGCCGGAGCGTGGGTGGTTAGGCTACCCCAAGAGCCCAAAGCCCTGAGTAGTATAAACCTTGACCCCTCCGTAAGCCCTAAACTGCATGAATCCCAAATCCCTAAGGCCCATCTCCGAAGCGCCCCACCCCAATTTTTCTGCTCAAGGCCCAGGATAGCAAGTCCCAAAAAAAATATGAAGCAACTCCTTGGAGCCCATGCCCAAGCATACAGGAGCCTACGTGCCAATCTTGAGCCCTCGAGATCGCAATGCAGCTATCATCATGGACTACCCAAAATTACCGATTCGAGTTCAAGAGGTATGTACCTGTCGTCCCTCTGCCCCAAGAGTTGCACCCAGACCCCAAACCTTCAACCCTCACCCATCCCATCCCTGAAAGCTCTGCAACACCTGACCCCTCGGCGGCCAGGTCGTGTCGGTGGTATGCCCAGGGACGGCAAGGTGAAGAAATCCAAGTCGCGCAGGGGGCTCGATGGACACCCTAGATCCTCAACTCAGATGGAAGCTGCATCGGACAAGCGCTCAAGCAGCTTTGCTTTTCTCGGCCCACCGAGGCAGGCCGAGTCTTCGTTTAAAGTCTGAGGGCTCATGGGGCCCATATTTGTTCAGTAGTTCTGACTCGTTGTCACAGCCACGTGACAATCTGTATGTTGGGCTAAGCAGAAGCGGTGCCTGCAGGTTTCAGGGGTTTGGGCGGGGACAGCACCTTCTCACCAGCTGTTTGTCCAAGCCTAAACCAACCAAACCATGGCTTGGAGGCTGCAAAACTCAGAGTTTTTTTTTGATGGTGCATGCCCCAGGTCTGAGGACCATCGACAAGAGCATCATTGCACCTTTCATCCCCTGTTGGTGCTGCCTGTGCCTCAGGCCGATAGCAACCTACTTGTTTTCAATTTGAATGTGTGTGTTTGGGGATGACATTGGGCAATTGTTAAGGCTCTTGTTTTCGGGCCTAAGCCTGACACCCTCTAAGGTTGGATTATGTGTAGTGTATACAAGGGTTAACAAGGGACCCAAACGAACGACCCATACTTGGAACCTTAGAATCTGTTTCGGCTCCGTGGAAACACAGTTTGAGCTGGCGTGTCTGAAGTCCCTCAATGATATGGTGCAAAAAAGCCCCAAACCTTAAACCCTAAGCCCTAATCCGTAGCCTGAGACCTAGACCATAACCCCTTCAGCCACCGTGGGCCGAGGCTGCGCGGGCCTCCGGCTCCGCCTCCCCTACAGCTGCGTGGACACCTACTGCCGGTGCTGCTGCTTCGAGCGCCCCCGCTTGAGATCTTTGACGCCTTTGAAGGGGAATGTTCCCTATGGTTGAACCCGAGATCCTGAAGGAGGTGCTGGTGGGGTGGCAGGAGTGGGGCGGGTGGAACTTCACGAGAAATGCTACAGTTCGGGCGGCGTGTAAGGATTGTAGGGACGCTTCGGGTTGATTGTGGTCTATAGAAGGGTCGGGCGCAGAGAGCTCCAGGCCGCACTCTACACCCGTGCAAGCACTGAGCCCTAGATTGTCGTAAACCCTCAGCCCTTGTGCAGGTACTCGTTCAGCACCGGCTTCCCCGAGATGGAATCTGGCCTCTGTGCCGGTTCCCAGCTTTGGGGGAGGGGGGGAGGCTCTCCGAGTGCTCGCGCACGAGTGCCGGGTCTTTTGGGGCGGCTCGGAGGGGCTTCGGATGTAGGATTTAGGGTCTTAGGTAGGGTCTTAGGGAATTTGTAGGGTTTGGGGTGCCGGGCTTCGAGGTGCAGGTCACTAAACCCTCACAAAAGCCAAAACTAAATAAGCGCCGAGCACCTGTTGTCCACGCTTCTCCGAGGTCTGCACTTGGTGAACTGCTGGTGCTGCTACTCCCTAGGCCTCTTGACCGCCGACTTGCTCGGCGACTTTGAGTTTTGAGGGGTCTTGGAAGCTTTCAGGAATTAGGGTCTTTGGTGATGGGCTTGAAGGAACCACTTGGCAAGGTGAAGTCCAGAATTGATGCCCACTCTTGCCAGGCAAGTGCCCGCCCACCACCCGCCACAACCCCATCTGCGCCTGCTGCGGCTGCCGAGCTGCCCGTGACTGGTGGGCCCCAGAGCAGCGCGCTCTGGGGACGCAGTAGGGCCCGAGTTTAGAGTCTTTGGAGGGTTTCAGGTTCTTTGGTTGGGGGCGTTGAAAGGGCTGCCGGACAGGGTAGTCAGGTAGTTCAGGAAGGAAGGTTTTGGGCTGGAGTGGTTTCGGAGCTTGAGTGTGAGAATTGTGTTGGTAGCCTGGCCTTCGCGGCCTGACTCGGCCCCAAATTGCCGGACCGTCCGAGCTCTCTATGGCGATGAGTCCAGCAACCGGCTCGTCCCAGTTCCATTTCGACTGCTTCCGATACGATAAAGCTGAGGGCTTACGAGGACGAGGGACTCCGATGAAGGCTTCTCCAGGGATGTCGACCTTAATAGGGTTTGTCAAGTTTAGGCCAGAGCGGGGACTCCAAAAGTTGCTGTGGAGCACCCATCCTCCAACATCCGGCAGCATTCATGCCAAATAGGCTCGGACATGTTGCCGGCTCCTGGCCAAGGCCCTCAGCCCTCGTAGGCCCTCCTTCGGAAGCGATTTCACAGGCTGCACCCCAAGGGTGGTCGAGCCAGGGCGAAGGTAGCCGAATCTCCACGTGGCGCTGTTGTAGAAGGGGCTGCCCGCTTTTTTGGTGAAGGCTTTCGGATCAAGGGCTGCGGACTTAGTAGTGCGACCCAACCTGTGGAGCGCCGCATGATTGGTACCTTGTGCCCTCAGCGAGCCGGACGAGGTCAAGCCTCCTACTGAGGTCCTGCCTCTCTCTCTCCCCCTATATTATAGTTTCTGAGTTAATGTTATTGCATGGTCCCGGGTTATTGGGTTTAGGGTTTGGGGGTTCAGGGTTCCTACTAAGTTGTGCAAGCCTCTTCTTGGCCCACGAGACCGGGAGCAAACGTGACCGGTTTGATGCCTAGTTCGACCCATGATCACGATCGTATGGCTTGCAGGGCGATCTCACCCGGCTCTTGCACTCCGCTGGAGAAAGGCCAGTTTTTCTCGGCGAGCCTTCCTTATGGAGGCTGCTCGGGAGTGTGCGCTGCAGCGGAGTATGCGAGCAAAATGGGCCCAGGGGTGCAGAGCTGGCGTTCTACCCGCGGCTCGGGTGTCGGGGGGTTTGTGGCGTTTAGGGTTCAGGCATGTTCAAATTCTAAATGGGAGGAGTCTCGTTCAAGCTTCAGCCCAATTTCTTCACACTCTTGACCTCGCAACTAGCCCTGGTGGCAGTAGCGGCTTAGGAGGCTTCATAGTTGGTTGGGGAATTCTGCGGCAGTTAGGAAGCCAGGTTCCTGTCCAACAGCATAGCTAGAAGATGGGCTCATGCTGACGCAACTGTCGCAGACTCTTTGCCTGGAGGCCTTTCGCCAGCTGTTGAAGAAGCACCGCGCCGCACTGCAGCCATGGCATACACTGGAACCTTGAAGAAATTCATGGCTGGCAAGGGCTTCGGCTTCATCGAGAAATCTGATGGTTCAGGCGATGTTTTCGTGCACTTCTCTGAGTTGACCAACGGCGGCCCTGACGACACGATTGTCGGTCGGGCGATGACCTCGACATGGAGGACGATGCGCGAAGTGGCAAGACAAAGGCCACCAACGTGACGCTGCAGTGCGGTGGCGGTGGCTATGGTGGTGGCTATGATTCCGGCAAGGGCTCCAAGAGCAAAGGGAAGCGCAAGCGTTCCGAAGAAGATGCGCGAAGTGGCAGGACAAGGGCCACTAACATCACCCTGCAGGGTGGCCTGCCGAGTCTGCTCACGGGGCGCGCTGCCATCCTGAATTGAGTTCTAGTTCCCTTACCATCCATCAATCCAAAACCAACGACGGGTCTACAAGCCCCAAACCCAGCACCTGAATAGAACACCTGCGACAAAGATGCGGTGACCCTGTCTCCGTGTTGTGTTGTATTGTGTTGTGTGTTGTGTGTTGTGTGTTGTGTGTTGTGTGTTGTGTGTTGTGTGTTGCGTGTTGTGTGTTGTGTGTTGTGTGTTGCGTGTTGTGTGTTGTGTGTTGTGTGTTGTCTGTTGTGTGTTGCGTGTTGAGTGTTGCGTGTTGCGTGTTGCGTGTTGTGTGTTGCGTGTTGTGTGTTGCGTGTTGCGTGTTGCGTGGTGTGTGGTGCGTGTTGCGTGGTGCGTGGTGCGTGGTGCGTGGTGCGTGGAGCGTGGTGCGTTGTGGGTTGTGCGTTGTGCGCTGTGCGTTGTGCGTTGTGTGTTGTGGGTTGTGCGTTGCGCGTTGTGTGTTGTGTGTTGTGGCGTTGTACGTTGTGGCGTTGTGTGTTGTGGGTTGTTGTTGTTTGTTGTGTGCTGTTTGTTGTGTGTTGTGGTTGGTGTTGTGTGTTGTGCGTTGTGTGTTGTGTGTTGTGCGTTGTGGGTTGTGCGTTGTGGTGTTGCGGCATTGTGTGTTGTGGCGTTGTGGTGTTCTGTGTTGTTGTGTTTTGTGTTGTGGTGTTGTGTGTTGTGGTGTTGTGTGTTGTGGTGTTGTGTGTTGTGGTGTTCTGTGTTGTGGTGTTGTGTGTTGTGGTTGGTGTTGTGTGTTGTGGTTGGTGTTGTGTGTTGTGGTTGGTGTTGTGTGTTGTGGTGTGGTGCGTTGTGGTGTTGTTTGTTGTGTTTGTAGTGTTGTGTGTTGTGGTGTTGTGTCTTGTGGAGTGGTGTGTTGTGGTGTTGTTTGTTGTGTTGTTGTTTGTTGTGTTTTGTGTGTTGTGTTGTGTGTGTGTGTGCGTGTGTTGTGGTGTTGTGTGTTCTTTCTTGTTGTGTTTTGCGTGTTGTGTTTTGTGTGTTGTGGTGTTGTGTGTGCGTGTGTTCTTTCTTGTTTTTTATGTGTTGTTTTTTTGCGTGTGTAAGGGGTGTGCGTGTGGGTGTGAGAGTGGATGCGGGTGTGCGGATGTGTTGGTGGGTGCGGATGTGTGGGTGGGTGGGTCAGTGGGTGCGTAGGCTCTCAGCTCCAGAAGACCCGCCTAGGCTGGCCGCGACGACATGATCGTCGGCACAGAGATGACCTTCGACATTGAGGAAGAAGCGCGAAGTGGCAAGACAAAGGCCACCAACGTGACGCTGCCGGGTGGTGGCCTTAAATGCAGACCGGCATGCTTGGAGCGTAGATAGAGTGCCTGTAAGACGGCCTAGGGTTCAGGGTTTGAGGGCAACGTGTATCAAAAAGCCGCCTTCAGCAAAGCAGTTGAACGCACCACGTGCAAGCACCACGCGCACGCACCATGTGCACCCACCACGTACACGCACCGCGTGCAAGCACAGCGTGCGCGCACGCGGACGCGCGACGCACACGCATGCCCGCACGCGCACTCGCGCACGTTCGCGCAAGCGCGCACGCGCGCACGCGCGCACGCACAGCGAACAAACACGTAACCGCACGAACGCACGCACAAACTTACCAACGCACAAACGCATAAACGCACAAACGCACAAACGCACAAGCGCACAAGCGCACAAGCACACAAACGCACAAACGCACAAACGCACAAACACACCCCGACAGCACACCCGCACACCTGTACACCTGCGCACCCGCACACCCGCATAATTACTTGCACACCCGCGCAACCGCGCACACGCGAATATGCGCACACGGCACACGCACACACGCGCACACGCGCACTCGCACGCATGCACAAACGTAGAAACATGCACCCGCACGCACACACGCGCGCTCGCACGCACGCACGCGCGAACGCACGAACGCACGAACGCACGCCCGCACGCCCGCATGCCCGCACGCCCGCACGCCGCACGCCCGCATGCCCGCACGCCCGCACGAACGCACGCCTGCATGACGCCCGCACGCCCGCACGCCCGCACGCCTGCACGCCAGCACGCCTACAAGCCCGCACGCCGACATGCTTGCAGCTCGGCGGCAGCAAAAAGGCACATGGGAGTACTTGGTTCCGGAAACCTTCGCAACTTTTTGGGTTGAGGTGAGATGTGCATGCGTCGGGGCTTCAAGTTTATGCTGAGTCAGAGCCAGCTCCAGGTCACAAGCTGTACAGGTCACAACATTCTGCAAAGCTCTCAAGTGCTCCGCGCCACAGTTTTTCAGGTTGAAGGTCGCATCTCAAGTGAGGTGTGTGTGTGTATTTATACATTGTCACCCCCCCGACACCACCGGCATTTATGATGTTTTCCATAGTTGTCGAAGCATGTCGCGAAGGAAGACTTGCGCAATGACTGAACCTGAGCACTTGTTTTCTGAAGCCGGAATCCGGTTTTGGATTCAGTCATGTCCATGTTTTGAATTACATTGCTGGCGGTGTTTTGAAGTCTATCTGATGCCAGAACACCAGTTTCAGCTACATTCTATCTGCCAAAACGCAAAACCTGAAATCTCATGTGTATCACGCCCATCTCCCCCGATACTCAAAAACCCGAACTGGAGTTATTTAGCTTACGTTTTCTCTAGCATGTTTTCTAAAGCATGTTGTGTTAGGATGTCAAGCATCTTCCCCCCGAAGAAGCAAAACCTACATTCGGAGTTGTTTTGCATATGTGCTATGTAATATTAATATGTCGTGTTGGGACATCAGCCATCTCACCTCATCTCGCACAGTTTGCCTTCGTTGTTCTTCATGTAATAAAGTATCGTATCTCGAGCAATCGCACCCATCTCCCACCCGATAAGCAAAACTAAAGCCTAAAACAGGAGTTCTTAAGCTTATGATTCCTCTGTTACATTGTGTTGTGGTGTTAATCATCTCCCCCCCGATAGGCAAGACCCAAAATTGGTGCTGTTTTGCTTCTGTTTTTTGTAATATGTTGTGTTGGGGTTCGCACATCCCCCCTCCCCAAAAAGCAGCACTTAGCACAGAAGTTATTTTGGTGATGTTGTTTTTGCAAGCGCTTGATGAAACGAAGCAGCGACGCGCAATCTGCTATTACAAGGACGAGACGCCAGAACCATGTTTCTACTAACTCTGCTACTTGTACTCGTGTTGAGCTTGTGTCTTTTCAAGCCAACCTGTCAACCATCTCCACCCGAAAAGCAAAACCTGGTATGTCGCATAGTTTACCTCTATTGTGCTTCGTAAAACAAAACATCGTATCTCGAGCAGTCGCAACATCTCCCCCCTATAACCCCGAAACAGCAGCCATCTAGCTTATTGTTTCTCTAATAGACTGTGTTGGGATTTCGAGCTTCTTCCCCCCAATAAGCAGAACCTAAATCCGGGGTTGTTTTGCATATGTGTTATGTAATATCAATATGTCGTGTTGGGATATCAACCATCCCCCCCCCGACAAGCAAAACCTGGTATCTTTGTTGTTCTTCATGAAATACAGCATCGTATCTCGAGTAATAACACCCATCCCACCCGAAAAGCAAAACCTAAAGCAGGAGTTATTTAGCTTATGATTCCTCTAATATATTATGTTGTGGTGTTAAGCATCTTCCCCCCCGATAGGCAAAAATCCAAAGTTGGTGGTGTTCTGCTTCTGGTTTATCTAATGTGTTGAGTTGGGATTTCGCACATCCCCCCGAATAAGCAGTTCTTAAAGCAGAAATTATGTCGGTTACGTTTCTCTTTGAAAGAGCTTGATGAAACAAAGCTGCGATGCGCAACCTGCCTCTACAATGACGAGACGCGCAGAACTTAAAACAGAAATCATTTAGGTTATGTTTCTATTAGCTATAATACATAGTTGTGGTGTTAAGCATCTTCCCCCGACAAGCAAAACCAAAATTGGTGGTGTTTTGCTTCTGTTTTATCTAATATGTTGGGTTGGGATTTCACACATCCCCCCCCAAATAAGCAGAACTTAAAACAGAAAACGTGTCGGATATGTTTCTCTTGAAAGAGCTTGACGAAACAAAGCTGCGATGCGCGATCTGCTGTTACAATGACGAGACGTGCAGGACTTAAGGAGGAAATCGTTTAGGCTATGTTGGTGCTGATTTGCTTATGTTTTGTCATGTTGTGTTGGGATTTCACACATCTCGCCCCAGCAAGAGTTATTTCGGTTATGTCTCTCTTCGAAAGAGCTTGATGAGACAAAGCTGCGACGTGCGATCTGCTTTTACGATGACGAGACGCGCAGACCTTCAAGCAGAAATCATGTAGGCTGTGTTGCTTTCAACTGTGAAATATTGTGTTGGGGTGTCAAGCATCTCGCCCAATAAGCAAACTGTTTTGCTTATGCTTTATCTACTCTGTTGTTTTGGGATTTCACACATCTCGGGCAAGAAAGCGAGCAGAGACCCATGTCCTTCGGTTCAACAAGAAGTTTTGACCAGGGCTCATGTACGTTTTTGGTTTCTGGGATTGGGATGTGCATGGGTCGGGGCTTCACAAGTTTATGCTGAGTCAGAGCCAGCTCCAGGGCACAAGCTGTACAGGTCACAACATTCTGCAAAGCTCTCAAGTGCTCCGCGCCACAGAGTTTCAGGTTAAAGGTCGCATGTTGAGGTGTATGTGTATGAGTGTTTTGCCCCCGCTGTCTGCCATTGACGTTTATGGAGTTTGGATTTGGCGCTTGGAGTTCTAACCCGGCCTTTTATGGGTTCAATTTCTTAGCCTCGTTGTTTAGGGTTTGGCGAATCTTTTGAGGCTCGGTCTGACAGGAATACATCGATGTGTATATATGTATATACATATGTATATACACATACAGACAGATGTAGACGTACTGAACCCACAGTTCATCTCAGCTCTACTGAGCGATACGCAACTAGCACAACCTGAACCCTGAGAGAGCCGCATGAATCCATACCGGCGATGCGCATATAGAGCCAGCCCCTAAACTCGATTTTTCCGCACTAAGGTCGACTTTGCTGGCCACGTCAGAGGGCTTTGAGGCCGAGCTGTTGGCGGGGCGTCGAGGGTGCTTGCTGCAGCCGGTTGAGAAAAGTGGCTTGAGGAGGTTCTACGTCTTTCGGCTTTGAGGGCCTGCAGAAGGTGGAGAAGAACTTCAGAGGAAACCTCCGGTTCGGGGTTGCCCCCTCAAGCCCTGGAACCTGATGCTTGCCAAGTCGTTGCTTGAGGTTTAGGACGTGAGGTTCAGCGAAGATCGCCAGGCATCCTTACGAAGATGACCCCCTGCACCTGCGAGACCTGAACCCGGCAGAACCTGAACCCTCTAGAGCCCATGGCGCACCCAAACCCTGCACCCAAGCAGGAGCTAGCCTTCACAACAGCCATCTAAAACCCTATGCGCTAAACATTCTAAATTAAGAGCCCCAAGCCGATGCTTTCTGCCTGGCACCTTGAACGCCCGAGGCAGGCCTGGACGATTCTGATGCGGATTTGTAAGGGGCCTTTTAGGGGGTAACAGGGAACATCCTACTCAGCCTTGTGCAATACAATCCGCGTAATCAACCTCAAAAGGGCCTGTGATTAGCAAAGGCTTCAGTGGGTTCCATAGATCGGAAATCAACCGTTTAGAGGGCCTTGAGGCCTTATAGGGGAAATGACTCATCAACCTTATAAAGTGCCTTGAGAAGAAGATCGCGTAGAGTAGCAAGGGGCCTTTAAGGGATTGAAGGGTGCAACAGCAATCAAGCTTCTCAAGGGCCTCAAAGGGATTGTTGGGAACAAAAGGCCTGCAAGGCAGTCGAGGGCAGAATTGCCCATCCTGGCAGGAAGGGTTTCTTTCACAGCGCCCCGTTATTTGGTGGCGACCATGGCTTTGGTGCTGTTTCTGGTCTCTTTAGGGTACCCTAACAACAGGGGCCCCGGTATCCTTAACAAGAACCTCGAAAGCTGGAGCGATGTTGAACCCTAAGCCCTTTACCCTTTGCCGGTGCATGTCTTGCTCAGAGAGTCGCGTTTAGCTTGAGAGGGCCTCGGGGCTTGGTCTGCTTCTCGGGTTTAGGGCTTAGGTAGAACTAAATTTTGGCATATAGTTGGCTAGCGCCTAGTTTGCCCCATGATTCGAGTAGAAGGCCCGAACTAAGCCCTAAACCCGACACCCTTCAAAACTCCACAGAGACCTTTTTGTGGCTTGAGGCGCTCAGCCCTAGCAATAGACGGGGTTCTCCAAACGTTAAACTGGGCTAGGCTTTCTGGATGTCCAGGGTTTAGAGGCTAAAGTCCCTAATCTTGCTAGTTGTTAGGAAGACACGATATGCAATGAGGCACCTTGCCCCCCCCCGCCCCCCGACCTTGCTCCACGTAACCCTTGAGAAAACTATATATGGGAACCCGAATTCCCTGAGCCAGCAATTAGCTTCAGAGATTTGAGAGAGGAGGACCTTGGCCAGCACCTTCACACTTGTTCGCCACTCCGCTTGGGGAGTGGGGTAGTTGTGAGCTTGACTTTCGATCCCTGAGGCACCGTCGGCAAAGGCTTTCTTGGGAACACACGTGCTCACGGGTGCGCGAGCTTTGGGCTCATGGCTTGGAGTTGTTGAGTCTCTTGCTCGCCTCCTGCTTGTTTCCCTGTGCAATATTGAGCCTATAGGATTAATGCAGCGGATGCTGTAGCAGTCGAGCTGGCAGCTGTTGCAGACGTTAAGTGCACCTGTCAACTGGGCTTGAGTCCCAAAAGCCTGCGACCATTGCAGAGGAGCGGCTTAGCTTGTAAACATAATTATCAGTATTGTTTTTTGTTCATGGTTCTGTGCTGATTTCTATCAGCGCTGATATTATGATTGCAACAAGATACGGCCAGGGGCTTGGGGTCCTAAGGGTTACCTTCCCCAGAGCGCACTGCCTTTCCAAACATACCCGAAGCCCACCCCACAACCCAAGTCAACCCTTTTCGGGTTCGGGTGATGCGTGAGCTGACGCCTCCTCTTGCAACCCAATCCCAAACTCAATCCCCAACCTCCAAGACGCGGGCGGGCCTTGCCATTGCTTCTGGCTCTATGGCTCCCTGCCCCAGTGAAAGCAACCAAGTAGATACGTGTTTGTTTGAGGGTCCCAGGCCCGACCATTCTGAAAGCCATGGTGTGCACGGGAATCTTGGACAAGGTCGTGGCTGCCAAGGGCTACGGCTTCATAGAGGTCCGATTGTGGCAACGATGTCTTGCACTTTTCTCAGTTGACCAACGGTGCCTCCGATGACCTGATTGTCGGTACGGAGATGGCCTTCGACGTAGAGAACGATGCAAGAACTGGCCCAAGACAAGGGCCACAAACGTACGACTGTTTGACAGGCCGGGGCCTCGAAGTGACAGTGACGTCACGGTTCATGTCAGGCCCCACACTCCCCAATGCCCACGGCCCAAGGCCCAAGGCTCCCCAAATCAGCCCACCCCGACGAAACCTAGCTGCTCTAGCTCGCCTGGGGAAGCCCGGCTTCAATAAAGCCGAGCCCTACAACCCTTAATCAGGCACAAGCTTTTAGCATCGGCACCGAGCTGCCGCCCAAGATCACCCTCTGCACCCCTATGTTTGGGCCTTGCTCTGTGGAAAACTGGAAACCTTGGATGACCGTTGCCAAGGCAGGCCTGGCTGCGAGAGGCCCGCTCTCTGCCGCGTGAGTAGCGGCGTAAGCTGGTCAGGGCCTCAAAGTTTCGGGCACGTTCAAAATGGGAGAGCCTCTGACTCGAGCATTGCCCACCGCAGCCTGTGCACATGCCGCCTCGTCTGACCTTCTCGTTGTTAGTGGCTGTTGTGTGTCAGTGCCGAATCTCCAACATTCCAACATGCATCCCTGCACCAGCTGCCGCCCGGTAGGCTGAAACAAGATTGGGACTTGTTTGTGATGCCCCTTTCCCTGCTCACAGTGAGCCCGAATCCTCAAACCTCTCTAAACCAATCTGCGTGCGAAGGTGCGGCTGCTGAAGGCCCGGCTTTCAGTTTTGTGTGTGGATGAGGCTTGCGGTGAGGGAGGGGCGTGCTAAACGCAAAGGCCTGCACGTAGCATCTCTGAGAGGTTGGGAGCGCCAGTTGGCTGCTTCAGCTCCATGTTTCATGCTGGAGGGATGGCCGATCTTCGGTGGCAGTATAGGGGCTCTACGGGGTGATTGCTCCATGTTACCCACACTACCACAGTCCTGATATGTGCATCCTCATTGCTAAAGACGACGCAGTCGATGGGTGCAGGTTTCTCCCCAATGGAGTCCTGGCAAACGCAAAACGAGCAGTGCTGGGAATGCGGGCACGGCTCGATGGGGCTGAGTAAGATTGTCATCTTCTCCTTCGTCTAGAAAAAACCGCACATCTTCACACCGTCACGGTACCGTTGTATCACGATGACTTCCCCCATTAAAGCAAAGCGTCGTCGACCTAAGTCACTCAAGTCGGGATCGCCAGGAGCGCGTGTCCTCTCAGGCGGGAGAGTCCCAGAGTTGCGGACTTCGGCATCAGAGCTTTCACGCCCTTCGAGGCTATAGGTGATATCAGGTTTGGCATTTTGGGCATCAGGATGTGTAGGGTTAAGGGTTTAGGCATGAGGGGACTGGGGTCTCGAGGGTGGTTTGCTGGATGAGTTCTCGCTTTTGAGCCTGATGAAATCTCAAACCCCAAGCCTTAAACCGTAAAACTCAACCAAGGGCCTCGAGCGAGGGAATCATGCGCACGCCCCTGAAACTGATACCGCTCACACTGCGTGCGGACTCTGACACACCAGGCTTTTCCCAGACGTGAAATAAATCCCAAAACAACAAAACTCCAAACCTCAATGTGTAGTTAAGCCGTAAGCCCCAGATTTCCACCACAGGCCTGCGGCCCACCTGTTGATTCGCGCGCCGACGGTTCAGAGTTTAGGCTAAAGCTCCCAAAATTGGGGTGGTGGGAGGCGGGGGAGGGGTCTCTTGCGCTCCGGACGTTTTCTGACTCCATGTGTGAGATCTTATTTTTCAAGTGTCTGAGAGGGGCTTGAGCAACAACAGACCGGGATTAAGATGGAGAGCTGTGCCCCTGGGCGTGGGGTTGTCGGCAGGGGGTCTTATGGCTGAGTTCAACGTCTTGCCGTTTGGAGTTATTGGCTTAGAGGTTTGGGCGAGACCACACCGGCCCCGCAGGCCTTTAAACTTTGGGCGTGTCGTTTATCACACCCTCAAAGCCTCCAACCCCTCAAGCCCCAAAGCGCCAAACCCTGAAGCCCTAAGGCCCCCCAAGTTCGAGACAGGTGACCAACCTGCCACCCACGTTCGTGGAGACTTCCTTTCAGTCCTAAGCTTCAAATCCTCATTTCTAGACTCCTAGACAAGCCTAAAAGTAACAGTATGTGACAGTGTGAAGCCCGAAGCCCCAAAGCTCTAAATCCTAGTTGAGGCCTTGATTGCTAAAGCTCCAGAGCGCCTGACAGTTTCTCGGGTGTGAGCCTGGAATCACATGTTGCATCACAGAAGGCACCTGCAACCCCGACTAAGCCATATATATTTGAACCTCCTGAGCCCTTTATTGGATCCTCCTGGCTAGGGGGGAAAGGGTTGGGGGTGGGTGAGAGGGCGGTGAGAGGGCGGTGAGAGTGGTGGCAAATCTAGAATCGTGGTTCTTGAAAAGCGCCATAAACCCAAACCCGGTGTAACAAAGGGCCTCGTGCGACGGAATCATGCGCGCGCTCCTGAAGCTGATATCGCTCACACTGCGCGTTCACTTTGCTACACAACCCAGGCTCTTCCCAGACCTTAAATCCCAAAATCATTACTCGGAGTATCGTTTTCCAGAAGCAAACGACAAGCACCATGGGGCAGCCCGTTATTCATGCGCTCCCTTTTTATAGTATTCAATTCATACGCACAATCAGTACCTTCGTGACACTTCTTCTCTTCTATGTTGGTATCGTGCTCACCGTGACCGCAATGAACAAGTCCAGTCAATAGGAGCCCGAAAGGCTGTTATCCCTGCATATTGGACCTGTCAGTGTCTATATTCGGTTAGCAGGAAAGGGCAAAAGACATCCATTAATGAAAGCTAGAACGAAGTGACCCAGAAAACCAGAACCTCTAGACTATACGCGTTACATT